TGCTAGTATGCTCCTTGTTGCACTCATCATCATTTAGACCTTTCCTTCCATTTGTGCTTTTTATTTACTTTTGTACAGTATGATGAATTGATGACTACTGCTGTTTAGTATATCAAACCTTAATTTGTAATCCCACTTTAATGAATTTCTGATCCCTATTTAGTCTTATCATCGTAGAATATGGTGAAACTTTCTTTTCTGTATAAAGAACTATTTAACTTGTTATTTATGTCACTTTGTAGGATGTTCCAGCTGATCAATCAGGAGACGAGCAATCGGTGGAAGAAGATGAGGGCTGTGATCATTCATATGTCCTCAAAGATGATATTGGCTATGTGTGCCGAGTATGCGGAGTCATCCAGAGGGCTATCGAGACTATATTTGATTTCCAGTACATAAAGGTTTGAAATAGTTCTTTATTTATGTATTTATTTTTTTCCCATTTCAGATCACGTATATATCTATATCAAGTTAGATCTTTTCTCTTTATTGTTTGATGTATGGATATGAGTATATGACTATTAGTCTGATTTTGTCCTTGATTTACTCAAGTTGTTACTTCTCACTGGAGACTTTTGTGGTTATTTGCTCAGATTTAGTTTGTTGGGCCCTCAACAAGAACTTTAATTTTGATGATCTAGTCCATTAAACACGTGTGTCTATAATTCAAATATTGCCTGCTTTTGAGACAGATCTCTAGTTAATACTTAAAACGACAATTGAGTTAAAGGAAGAGACTATTTGTGGTCTGTAATTTCTTTATCTATAGTTTTGGGATGTAGAGATTTAGTTATAGTAACATTAGTAAGCCAAAAAATGTTTTGGAGGTTCTCATTAGTCCCTTGGGGATATATCTGACAGATATTTTTATAATTCCTTGGTCAGATAGGTAGGTGATTAGGTATTGACTAGAAAAATTTTCAATACTTAGGCCTCGTTCACTTCACCTTATTTTTGTTGAACTGAAATTATTTTTGCTGAAGTTAAATTATTTTTACCGAATTAAAATTAATTTTACTGAACTGAAATTATTTTTGCTGAATTGAAATTATTTTTGCTTAACTGAAATTATTTTTTACTTGTTAAATTTCTTTTCTATAGTTACTGATTTTTATTGAACTGAAATTATTTTTACTGAACTGAACTTATTATTACTGAATTGAAATTATTTTTGCTGAACTGGACTTATTATTACTGAACTGAAATTATTATTATTGAATATTATTTTTTTAAGGTGAAGTGATCAGGGCCTTAAGTTTAAATGTATTTAGCAGAATTCAATTACATTTATTAATTGGTTAAATTGTAGAACAGAACATTATATCATCCTACAGCTCTACAAAATCTTGTTTTGGCTGAAGATATGTGATTGTTAGAATCCAACACTCAGATCGTGACACATATCCTAATAATCATGGTATCTATCTACACCTCTACATTCTTAAAGGTTACTTGATTTTTTCCGTGCGGATGTTACTTGGATGGATTAAGTATCTGTGGTTGTTAACTGTATATGACATTTTGCCATCGGCTTGGAGGCACTTATTTTGTAACTTTCAGTTTATGCTGATGCAAAGCCTGACACCTGGAGTCCTGGACACATACCCGTGTCAGACGAAATTTATCTGTGATAACTGATTAATACCTTTTTTAATTTTATATTAAATTATTTTACAGCCCTGTTGTGTCTGTCAGTATCAATGTCATCATATTGGCTTCTGTTGTCTGGATTGGTGTTCTGCTAGAAGTTCTTATGGCCTTTACTTATGAATTGATGCCATTTGCTTTTCATGACACTCATTTTTTCTTTACATCAGGCTGCTCGCGTGAGAAGCTACAGGTCTGATTCTCGTTCTAACAGAGAGAACGATGACACCGACTACCATCTGGATGGGATTAACCTGCCTGGGCATGATTTGGCTGTGACTGAAATCTCTGCTCATCCTAGGCATAAAAAGCAAATGAAGCCTCACCAGTCAGAGGGATTTAACTTCTTATTGAGCAACTTAATTACTGAAAATCCTGGTGGTTGCATCTTGGCTCACGCTCCTGGCTCTGGAAAGACTTTTATGATCATCAGTTTCATGCAAAGTTTTCTAGCCCAATATCCAGATGCTAGGCCATTGGTGGTGCTTCCTAAAGGAATTCTCCCTACTTGGAAAAAGGAGTTTCAAAGATGGCAAGTAGAGGACATTCCTCTACTTGATTTCTACTCCATGAAAGCTGAAAATAGGTTTCAACAGAAGGAAGTTCTTAGACAGTGGGTAGAGCAGAGGAGCATACTTTTTCTGGGTTATAAGCAGTTCTCGACTATTGTTACTGGTGACAGCTCATGCAAGGCAACTGCTTATTGCCAAGAGGTACTGCTGAAGCGCCCTAGCATCCTTATCTTGGATGAAGGTCATACTCCTAGGAATGAGAACACTGACGTGCTGCATTCACTTGCCAAAGTCCAAACTCCTAGGAAGGTAGTGCTATCTGGCACACTCTACCAAAATCATGTCAAAGAGGTTTTCACCATTTTAAACCTCGTCCGCCCAAAATTTTTGAAGCTTGACGAATCCAGGAGCATAAAGAAACGTATCATGAGTAGAGTGCAATTTCATGGGTTTAAAAAGCAGTTGAAAGGAGGGAATGTTGAGAGCAATTTTTTCGATCTTGTTGAATACACCCTTCAGCAGGATGAAGACTGGAAAAGAAAGGAGGCTGTAATCAAAGATCTGAGGGAGATGACAAGCAAGGTATTGCACTACTACAGGGGTGACTTCTTGGATGATCTTCCTGGACTTGTAGACTTTACTGTTCTTCTCAGTCTGAGCCCTCAACAGAAAATTGAAGTTGATAAGCTGAATAAGAGGGAAAAAACAAAATTCAGGAAAACCTCATTGGGTTGTGCAGTCTACACTCACCCAAAGCTCAAGCTTTTTTCAGACAATAATCCTGGTTCTGAAAAACGGTCATTGCAATATGATGCCAAGATTGATGAGCTGGTTGAAAAGATAGACATTAGAGAAGGAGTCAAGGCTAAATTTTTTTTGAATATGCTGCGTTTATGTGAAAGTAATGGAGAAAAGCTACTGGTGTTTAGCCAGTATTTGCTGCCTTTAAATTTTCTGGAACGGTTAGCTGTCAATAGGAAGGGGTGGTCTGTTGGTAAAGAGATATTCATGATTTGTGGCGATACATCTACTGATCTGCGAGAATCACATATGGAGCAGTTCAATAACTCCCCTGATGCACGGGTCTTCTTCGGATCAATCAAAGCTTGTGGAGAAGGAATATCTCTTGTGGGAGCCTCCCGGATTATAGTCTTGGATGTCCATTTGAATCCGTCTGTGTCGCGCCAAGCAATAGGGCGTGCATTTCGTCCCGGTCAGGAGAAAAAAGTTTTTGTTTACCGACTGATTGCTGCTGACTCCCCTGAAGAGGAAGACCATCTTACGTGCTTCAAAAAGGAACAAATTGCAAAAAGGTGGTTTGAGTGGAATGAATACCGTGGAACACAAGATTTTAATATAGAGCCAGTTGATCTAAAGGACTGTGGTGATTTATTCTTGGAGAGTCCGGCGCTAGCTGAGGATGTTAAGGCTTTGCACCGAAGGTTAGTTCGACTTTCTGTTCTCATATCTTCTTTATTTACTACTATGTCACTTCTGATTTACACCGTTATACCATTTGTCCCTTTATATTGTATACTTTCATTAAATGGATGCCCTAAATTGTTTCTCACACTTCTTTTTTGGATAGTCTAACATCTAAATATCATCTTGTTTTCCCTCTTTCTTTTCTTTATATAATCTCTTCCTAAAAATGCTACTTGTTTCTATTCAATTTTTAATATTTCAACTTTTTCATTCTAGTGTATGTCCTGTTTATGTGTTATATTTTATAGCATTAATATTTTTAGCCAAATCCAAAATTCAGGGAGGAAGGGAGTCTTTGTATATTTCTGCGAACTTATGCAAATTTAACTTGCGTGTTGTAGGTAAATTGTCAGTAAAGGAGATGCCTGAAGATGCTTAACCTTTGCTAACTGCACAATTTTACTTTTTAAGCAATACAAGTCTGTACACAGGGAGAATGAACTTTTGAAGTTGGAACTATGATTTTGGTGGGACTGTATATATTTATGACAGCTGTTGGAGAAAGGTTAGGTGTTCTAGTTACTGCAGTGCTGAAGTTTGTTGTAATGCAAACTAGCATGTTGGTGTATGCACTTTCTGAATGTTGATCTGTATATTTTTAGATGAACCTGTTTCTAAGCTTCACTTTGCAGCATTGATTTTCTTTGATATGCCATCCACCATTTGCAGAGTCAAATTCAAGCATACACTAATTAGATAAAAAACAAAACATAAATTGACTACCCTCAATTTTTTGAAGCATAGAACTTAACTGCATGGTTGGTTGGGATGGAGATTATTTCCAAAGATTTCATTTCTCTGTATTCGGTTTAAGGTAAGGGGTACTTTTGTTGAATGTGTTATATTACTTGTTTGTAGATTTTTCACACATTAATGTACCTGTTGAGCAGAAAATGAAACAAGAATAAGTCACAGGCAGCGAACAAAGCCTTAGTTTTTTAGGCACAATTGTCCGAAAGTATCTGATTTTGCTCAAATTTGTAAGCTAGTCTTTCCATTTTTGTAAAAGGCACACTTTTTTTTTGAAGAAAACTTGTATAAGGCACACTTGAATCGATAATTTAAGTAACACCCAGCCAATGTTATCTCCTCTCTCGCCTCAGCTTACAACATCAAAACAGCTAACCATTGTTAGCCTGCTGTTCCTTTGCTAAATATGAAAGAAAACACACCCTCAATTTCCATCAACAATCTTCCCCCAACAAACATAAAAGTAGTTGCACCCTCAATTTCTAGCCGCCACCAACAATGATCATAGACAATATCGGCCACCTCACACAATCCAAAGTCGCAAGTAGTAGATGCAAAAACATTGAACGAAGTTTAATTTTCTGTTTTCTTATACTGCCTCCGTTACAGGTTATGTGCAACGATTTGAAATAAAGCAGAGAGGAAAAATGTCTAATCGTTGCACATAACTTGTAACGGAGGTAGTACTTACATATGTTAACACGTGCCAATTGTCAAAGTAACTTGTTATTACAGGTTGAGAATAGATTGAACTTGTTAAAATAAAGCTCATCCCAAATTAGGATTGTTGTAGAATAAATAGAAAGTTGATAATTTTAAAAAAAAAAAAAAAAAAAATCAAGTTGGGGTTACCATAGTACTGTACTAATTTAAAAAATTTAAAAAATAACCTTTCAAATTTGGTATGCGCCTTATCGGCTTATCCCCTCAAACAAATACTGTTACCATTTCCCTTCACTAAAACCCTAAATTCCCCTAACCCCTTCAGAGTTCAAATTACAAATTACAAATTTTAGGTTGTAGTAATCGTCTTCATAATTCAGATGATGCCGATCCAGAAGAAGACGAAACCATCGTTCCGTCAAAATAGAAGAAAAATAAGACGAAATTACCATAATTGAAAGAAGACCTCGACAACATCAACAATGGCGATCTTGAGGAAGAAGAAGATAGAATAAGCTATCTCCCAGATAATCTCCTTGTCACCATTGTTGATCACATTTTGTCTCAGCTCGATTCCCCCGTCATTCACTCCTTTGTACTAAAGACTAACGTTTACTCCAATGTTGATCCGCATCCCTCTTTTATGCTTCAATGGATTACTCACATCTGTCTTCGAAATCCGGAGGTAATCGTGGTTAGCTTCTACTTTGGTTTATTTGAATTGCCCGTTTGTCTTTTCACAACTCAATCACTTTCTGTACTTCGACTTTCATTTAGATGGAAGTTTCCCGATGATTATAGAGATGATATGTTGTGTATTAATCTTCCTAATTTGAAGGAACTTGAATTGTGTCTTCGTGATTCAAATCATACTTTGATACGTACTCTTTTTAAATCTTGCCCCTTTTTGGAACGATTATCTCTAACTGTTGTGTTAGATAAAGAGGATCACTTGGTTGATATTGTTGCCCCTAACCTCAATAGTTTGGAAATATTTATGGTAGCTAACACTAACTTAAGGAGCTACTGCAACTGGATATTTTCTATTGATGCTCCGTTGCCCTTTTATAAGTTTGTGAATAAACAAAAGGTGCTACAAGAAGCCATTGTTACTATACCTAAGTATTATAGCAATGAACGAGATGCTTATCTTAGCCGGATAGTACCACTTTTCCAAGGGATATCTTGTGCTAGATACCTTACCTTCGAAGACACATTTCCGGGTCTTTATCTGATGGATGTTGCCCTGCCAATCTTCCATAATCTCACCAATTTAATGATATCATTTGGGATTTTGGAATCAGATAGTCAAGTTCCAAGTTGTTTGCTAATTAATCTCAAGACACTAAAGATAGAGGATATGAAGTTAAATGACCAAGGGATCAAGTTTCTGGAAGATATCCTATGTAATGCAACTGTTTTGGAGCAGCTTGATATTTGTTCGGATAATGAACTTTATGAGGATGATGTTGAATATGGAGTTGTATTGATGGAATACAAGTTTTGTATGAAGCTTTTCATGCTTCTAAGGAGATCATCAAACTGTTTAATCAACTTCTCTGGTTCTATATTCACTACATCAAGTAATGCAATTAGGAATGGCAGGTTTGTTTGCGATATTACAAATTGCATGGATGAATGACATTGCTAAATGTCAGGAAATGCAGGTCAGCTACACATTTGCTATCCATTTGCCATTTCGCAAATACTTTTATTCATTGCCTCACATGCATTTGCCCAGGTTTATGCCCTTGAGATAAGTATTTGTATTTCATTTTGATGGAAATAACATGCATATCTTCTGCATAGTTCTGTGGTGTACTTGTATCATGGCTTCCCATGCTTATATTTACATAACCCTAACTGTGAATGAAGAGAGGTTTGAGCAGGTATATCTGTTTTACAATTGAGACGGATTTTTAAAGAAGGGGTATACCAGTATTGCATAGTTGCGCCCACTTAGCTTGAATATTGTAGCATAAATTTTCATTACAACTACACTGAAGGATGTATTTATAACTCCTGCAGTCCTTCTTGGAGGTCTGAATACCTTTTGCTTAACTCTGCAATTTTTGCACACTTGACTCTGCTCTACAGTAGGACATGATTCAGTTGTGGATTTACATTCTATCTGCTTGCTAGAGCTTGTACTTTGTGTGCTGTGTATATTGCTTGTAATGTGTGTTAAAACGAAGCTTATGAGTTATATCTTTGCTTTACTTGTGGTCACATTTAGTTTCCTATGTCTTGGCTTCTCTGTTTTTTTTCTTTCTCTTGCTTTCTTTTCCCCTGCTCTCCTTTTGTTTGTGTATGTGTGTGTGCTTTCATTTTCTGATTTACACATTACACCATTTGTCCCTTCATATTCTAAACTTTCATAATAAAGTTGCCATTATTGTTTCCCACACTTCTTATTTGGATAATAAAACATCTATTTCTAATGCAACATCATAAATTATGGGCATAAATGTCATCTTGTGCTCTATTTAACTTCCTAAATATGCCACTTGTTCCTATTCAATTTTAGATATTCTAATTGTTGCATACTAGAGTTTGCCTCTTCTATATGAAAAATTTATAGCAGTAACATTTGTGCCAAACCTTAACATTCAGGGACAAAGGGAGTAATTGTATCTCAGTGAACTTATGCACTTTCTAATTGTCAGTGGTTGTGGAAGGAGATGCCTGAAGATGCCTTAACCTTTGCTAACTGCCGTTTTAGTTTTTAAGCAATACAAGTCTGTACACAGGGAGAATGAGCTTTTGAAGTTGGAACTATGATTTTGGTGATGCTGTATATATCTATGACCGTTATCGGAGAACGATTAGGTGTTATAGTTACTGCAGTGCTTAAGTTTGTTCTAATGTAATCCGGCATTTTGGTGTATGCACTTTCTAAATGTTGATCTGTATATTTTTAGATGAATCTGTTTCTAAGCTTTACTTTGAAGCATTCATCCTCTTTAATTTGATTTTTAGTAAGATTATTTACAGACCTACAACAATAACAGCGCGTTTTCTGTGTGGTTGGCCACACTTTGTGACCAAGGTTACTTGGTCGGTCAGGAGTTACTTATACATGAATTACTAGGTCGATCAAGAGTTACTCGTGAAAAAGTAATCCCGGCCACACGGTGTGGCCAGCCACATAAAAATTTGTGCTACAATAAACACAGGAAACATACTATGATTTGTACGTAACAGAGCTGATAAGGTATTTTTACATTGGTTGTTAAAGCTGAGCTCGTGGTGGAATGTCGTCATCTGTTGGTGGTTAAGGTTTCAGGTGGTGTTGTAGGAGGGTTAAACATAGGAGATGGATTGAAATTAGGCTTAGGTTCCGATGGGGAATTGACTCCTCCGAATGGTGGTAAAATCATCTGTGGTTGCTTTAGGCAGGTGCGGAGATGGTTGTGGATTTTCAGCAGGCATAGGTTCTGATGGTGGTTCTGCACTTCTGCCACCTCTAAAGGTGGAGGAGCGGAATCATCACCTGAAGGTGGAGGTGGCTAAAAAGATGGTGGTGGATTCAGAATGATCACAGGTGTTCACGGTGGAGACGACACCGGCCTTGGAGGGGGCACCTTTGTTGGAGTTGATGGAGGAGGCGCTGTCCTTGGAGTTGGTGGTGAAACTGCTTGTAAATTTTTTTGAAAAAGTAAAGCCAGACTAAACACCTTAGCAGGTGGCAAAGCTGGGGCTGGCCCAGGTGCTGGTGCTGGTGCTGGTGCTTGCAGATGGCCGTTTGAGGTTGTGATTTGTTAGTGAAAGCCATAGTTCGTTGCCAACATCACCGTTAATAGTGAACTCATCACCATACTAATATGATAGTCTGCCATATAAATTTTTAATTTGATTCAATGAAATTTGTTTCTGAACATTTACAACTCTTGGGAAAATTTTAAAGTATTGGAATTGCCATAAATTACATGATAATAAGAATGTGTAAAAACATATCATAGACATCACCATTTCATTCATTTGTTTTGGAACTGCATAGTGAAAACACCTTTTTCTTGTTTCCTGTTTTTGGTTTTTGGTTTTCAAAAAAACAAAAAACTAAAAACCAAAACTGATGCCAAACAAGCCCTTAGAGATTTGTTGCTCTCTATCTTCTTTATTCCTTTTTATTTTCTCCAGTCTTAGAATAATATTACATCGATTAAATTGTTTAATGGTTCATATTCGAAGGGTTTACAATTTCTATACTCCTTGCATTAAACTATAAGATGATGAATAAGCCTTTTTTTTTTTTTTTTACAAGAATGAATAAGCATTAATAAACCTTTAGAATTTGATTTGACTAATATATTTCCTTAAGCTCGTGTCATTTTCTTTTACTCAGCTTGCTGAATGGAACAGCTAGCAACACAAGTTGCTGAGTAGTACATTGCGATAATTTTGTAACTTGTTAGATAGCTAGACACGCGATTTTTAACTCATGTTATTACAATTTGATTTGGTATTGATGTGAATAAAATGGATTGTTTGCATTGGTTCAATTTTATCCTGTGCATGCTTTTTATTTGTTCCTCTATGTTTTTCATAAGAAAATGTATAACCACAATACCAAAATGTAATTAAAAACTAATCATCTTTCAAATTGTTTATCAGAATTATTCAAACCAATGTATCATCTGTTCATTGGTACATTACTTTCATTTCAAGTTCATCACCTCCACAAACATAAATTCCTTCCATAAACCATTACTCGATTTTTGGCCTAATCTCAATTCCTTGAACAACTAAACTACCTTTAGCAAACCCATTCTCAATCTCCATTAGCGAAAATGTCACTTGTTCATCTTCTTCCCTAGTATAAAACTCCCCAATTTCAACCTCAACCCACCCATCTATCCTCTTCTTCGAAAGCTTAACATTATTCCCTTCTGGCCCCTCACCACCTTCACGACGACATGGGTCTAAACAGGCCATCCCGGTCACCACTTCGCCTCCTGAAGTTTCAATAGTAACCTCTATGGGAAAATCATAGATATCCCATATGCTACGATTTGTAACATCAAACACAAGGTATGCAGCATACCTGGTGTTTGGAGATAGCATCGACGTTGTGATCCCACCTTTTATTTCAAACCTGTTGACATAACATTAATAAGGCAACATGATCATTTAGTTTGAAGGATAACAAGTCGGAATGTAACATTAACAATTAAAGAGATCGAAAACAAGTGAAAGGAACCTCAATCTAGGAATCACATGCCGCACAAGCAAATGCCAGTAACTTGGTCTTTCACCCCATGTTATGCCTAGCTTCCTTGCCAAAAGTGTGCAACACATTTTGCCAGTTGATTTTTCCAGCGAAAATTTCTGATGAAGAGTTTAGATTTTTGGTTGTTTCATTAGTCACAACAAAACACATCAAATAAGCAATCAAATTTAACAAGCAACGATGAACTGTATAGCTACTATTGGTGTGATATCAGTGCAAAAGAATGTGTCATTTAAACCTCTTAAGTCTTATACTTCCTTTGTTTCTCGATACATGCAACATGTAAAAAAATATCAGGAATCTCAAACATGATTTTTTTTTTTTTTTTTTTTTTTTTTTTTTTTTTTTTTTTTGCAAGAGAGGGGCAAGCCCCAAAACAAAGAAATAACACAAACAGAAAAAAAGAAAAGAAAACAATTGCAAGCAGCTAAAGCTACTAATTATTCCTACTAGCCGGCACCATCCTAGAGTGCGTCATCCCACTCAAGTTCTCCAATAAAACGGCAAGAAGATCCTTCGGGTTTAGTTATTTGGAACTTCTTATAGACAATAGGCTGGAGATCTAAACCCTTTCACAATTATTAAGGAAATGAATGAACTGGGATTATAAAATTAATATTTTGCTAATGTAGTAGCCATGCACGCATAGATCGAGTGAATATATAACTATATAAGTAATACAACTAGATGCGGAGTTAGAATTATTAAATTGTTAAAAGACTAATTAATTGACAATACAATGAACGTCGTCACATTTATCTTATTTATATATATATATTTTTTGTTTATGAAATAATGGTGGAACATGTGACACATAAGCCCTTTACCAGATCTACCTAAATGTAAATATTATTTTATTTCGACAATAACATATATACGGTACTATGCTTTGAATTACGTAAGCTACCAACATTACCATACTTATCAACACATTTGATATTACTCGTATTAAACTTCAATTCACATTTATATCTAGTATTTAATAATATATTGCACAAGATAGTAAAAATTTTTCATACAAATCTCGAAAATTATAATCAAAGTCGGTATAAAAAATTGAAAAAAAAAAAATCAAAATTATAGAATGGTAGGAATATATATACACTTGATTCAATTTGAACATACGATTGTGATTAAAATTATTACGGATTATCTATTTTATTTAATTATAGAGTAACTAGGTAAATAGGTAACATGTCCAATTTGTTTTTGTTTTTGTTTTTGTTTTTTTTTGTTTTTTTTTGTTTTTTTTTTTTTTTTTTGTTATGACAATCCATGAAAGCCAAATCACCATTTATACATCAACACGAGACCAATTATTTTGACATGAAAGAATTAATTAGGAATAATTCAATGTAAAAGAAATCAGGAAACAAAACTCAAATTAAATTCAAATGACCGAAAAAATTAATTAAATTACCATCAATCCTTGGTCAAGGAGAAGAGAATTATCAGCGAGATACATATAGAGGTCCTTCTTTGAGAGAGTATCCAACAAATGCACATGATCAACGTTGGATGCCCGTAAGACAATTTCACGATAATTGGGCGGCAGAAAACGATCCCAGACAATGTCGGAATTACCAACAACATTGTTAAAGGTCGTAGAGAGCGTCGCGATATGACAAGCATCACGAGGGGTGGTGAATGAAATTACAGTTGCAATGGATTCATCCGGAAGGTTGTTAATAGTAGTTTCAACGATGTAAGAGATTGTTTCTCTTCCGAATTCTAATTGTTCTACCATTTCTCTTGCCATTTTTCAATGATATTAGTGTTTGTTTTAAGGATTTTGGTGTGAGAGTTTATTAGTGGTGTATGTTATGTATAGTAAGTATATAAGGTGACAATGTAAACTTAGGGTTTAAGTCTTTGTATTATTGAACCCTAATAAATGGCAATAAATTCATTTTGATTTTCTCTTAATTTCTTTTGATTTGGATTGGATTGGATTGGATTGGATGAGATATCACTGATTCACTGCCAAGTGCCAACCTCTAATTGTTACTCCATCTGATGTGATCCAATCCGTTTTACAAATATCAATTTTTTATTTTAAGTTTTGCATTCTTTACAAACAACAATTTGACTTCCACTGGTGTTTTATTTATACATAAAGCAAAATATAGTTATGTGGGTACCTGTTAAATTATCAACTTTTTGTTACTCAGTATAGTTTATAGTTATTATTGGTCTATATTCCGCATAGACACATTTATTTTGACACGTAAAGAGTAGAAGTGTAGAACTATGTATATTATGGTTTGAAGATGTATGTACTTGTTAGGGATGGCGGTTAACCTAGCCCGTATTATGGATTTTCTTACGAATCAATATATATACAGACTAATAAATTAAATACGATGTACCATGTAAGTAGCTTTATAGCTTATTATTACTTATTACGTCCTTCTAAAATATATAGATACGACATAATCTAAACCACATTGAAACTTAGGATTTAAGTTTTTGCTTTGAACCCGATAATGGTAATACTTATTAAACTAACTCATATCTACTAATGATAAGGGGATTCGAACACCCAACCTTTTATGAGAAACATAGTTACTTAACCATTTAAGCCAATCATAAACTATGTTATAAATATAAAAATAAATGTATATAATTAATAATCACAAGGTCTAATTAAAGTAGCAACCGGTGCAACGCCCGGGGTACACACTAGTTAACTATTAAACCCACTTATTTTATATAGTGCGGTGTACTCGTATTTTATCATAGTTCTCCTAATTTGATTTCATCTTAATTAAATTGATATTTATACCATAAGATCTAACTCAAACTTAAATTGACCCAAAACAACTTTTCAGCAATGTAATAACTGGACTTGAATTTGGTGAGAAGGGTCAACCATTGGACCATTTTGACTCCACAAACAAAGTAATTACTTTGGTTGGGCCTGTTTAAGGGAGGTCCAGATCAAAGTTCAAAGTTTCAAACCATTACTCGTATCTCAGCTTTCATTCCCCCCCCCCCCCCTTCCTAAAGAAAGCAAATAAAGTACATACTTCTTTTTCTCTCTCTCTCTTCTTTTTTTTTTTTTTTTTTTTTTTTTTTTTTTTTTTTTTTTTTGGGAAAATTTGTTAATTTTTTTTAAAAAACAACTCTCTTGTTTAAAAAAACCTGTTAAAAATTATTGGCAACATGAAACCTGTTAATAAATTTTTTGTTGTTCTTTAAAAAAAACCTCATTTTTTGACGTTGAGTCGTTAACTTCCATTTTCTGGGTGGAGTTGGGGAGGGTACAACCTAAAATCCACCCCATCCCATCATCTATGACAACTATATTTTTTTTTATCCCCATCCTCTGTCCACCTCTCACCAAGTCTAGAGTCTAGACTCATACGATCATAGTCATACCGACCCAATTTGATTGGGCGGGTCAACCCCATTAATATCAAAAAAGTAAATGCTACACTTTAGTTGAGGAGAGACGTGAAAGAAGATAAATAATAATAATAAGAAGATAAGTAATAGTGATAAAACCAAGCTAAGCTTAGTCTAGTGGTAAGATTGTCACCTCCCATCCCCACAAGAGACACTTTAAAGGTGAAGATCCCTTACCATTCCCCCTTAAAAAAAATATGATAGTATTATAAGAAAAACCACCTCAAAGCCATTTTTTTTTGTTTGAAGAGACCTCAAGCCAATTTTCTATTGACTCCAATATTTTATAACTCATTTTTTAAAAATTGAAATTATTTTTCTTAAACTTAATTTTTTTTTGAAGAAACATTAAATTATTTTTTTAACTAAAAGTTAATTGTTTATTCTACCTAGAGAAGTAGAGATAGGCCCTTGCAATAATTTTCATGCGCTCTCTGTCTCTCCTGTTCAGTCCCCTCAAAAATCTCAAACAAGCACATATTTTCCCCTTTACTTAACCCTAAATTCCCCTTCAAAGTTGAAACACCAGCCAAGATTAATTACATATATTAGCTCGCTTCCGAATTCAAATGACGCCGACCAGAAGAAGCCGAAATTATCGACATTGAAGGAAGACCTCGGAAACATCATCAATGGCGGCGGCAGCAGCAGTGAATACGGTGTTATTGAAGAAGAAATTGAAGAGCACAACAACATCAACAATGGCGGCGATAACGAGGAAGAAGATAGATTAAGCTCGCTCCCAGATAACCTCCTTATCACCATACTTTCTCGCCTCTACCGATAATTTCAAATATGGTAGACTTGATTGCAAAATTACAGATCTCATCGAGGTTGAATGACAAGGCTAAAAGTCGGGAAAATGCAGGTCAGTTACACATATGTTCATCATTGTGGTAACCTGTGCTTTTCATTTTGCAAATACTGATTTTTCTATTGCCCAACATTAATCACTTGTGCATTTGCCTAGATTTGAGCCATGTGATAATTTTTTTATTTTTTATTGATGGAATAAATCTGCATTATATTTGCATATTTCTGCGGTGCTGTAAATCCTAGTATCATGGCTTCCCATGCTTATTACTCCGTCCGTCCCAGATTGATAGTCACTAATCAGTCAAATTAAGGAGAATTTAAGAAAGTACATTGAAAAAGTAAATTTACACTTGGGTAACATATTAATATTAAAAAATAATATTAATGGTACTTGAAAAAAGCAAATGTGACTAACATTTTGAGTCACCAAAAATGGCAAAAGTAACTATCAATCGGGGACAGAGGGAGTACTATCCAACACTGACCGTGAATGAAAAGAGGCTTGAGTTGGTATATCATGGCACTCCCCACATATCTTGAATATTGTGTCATGGACTCATGGTTATCCATTGTAATTTGTAACTACACTGAAAAGATGTATTATGTATGTAATTCTTACTTGGAGAAATTAATCCTTTTGCTAAAGTCTTTACTTTTTGCTCACTTGCTCTCTGCTCTATGCAAGGGCAAGTTTTAGCTTTGCATATTTCTTTGGTTGGTTGAGGAGCCAAAGCTAGACTTTTGCTCCTTATTTAGCAAATACTTGGTATTCTATTGCCTCACATATGCATTTTGCCCGGGTTTGGGCCCTTGTGATAAGTATTCTTATTTCATTTTGATGGAAATAATCTGCTTATCTTCTCCATAGTACTGAGTTGTGCTTGTATCTTGGTTTCCCATGCTTATATATACATAACCCGAGTATTGCACATCTGCACCCACTTAGCTTGAATATCGTAGCATAAATTTCCATTGTAACTAGACTAAAAGATGTTTTTACAAGTCCTACTTGGAGATCTTAATCCCTTTTGCTTATCCGTGCACTTTTTGCACTCTTGCACTCGACTCTATAGTGAGGACATGATTCAGTTGTGCATTTACATTCTGTTAGCTGCTAGAGCTTAAACTTTGTGTGGCTGTGTATATTGCTTGTAATGTGTGTGTTAGTGTTAACACAACACTTATGAGCTATTTACTTGCTTTACTTGTGGTCTTATTTATTTTCCTATGTCTTGGCTTCTCTTTTGTTCTTTTGCTTTTCTTTCCCCTCTCCTTTTTTTAGGGTGTGCTGTGTGTGTTCATTCTCCTTTTATGTTCTATGACCCTCCAATAATGGTACTATAGTGAAAATCATGATCCTCTATTCATATTTTGTTAGTTTTTATATGGAAGTGATAGTTTCATGTTATTCTTGCATTATTTCCAAATTTGCAGTCTGTGTTTTAAGTGTTTTTGTAACATATTAAATGCTCTATTTCGCTAATACAGATCAGTACTCTTTGATTTGTCATTGGCAAAGTTCAATGGAGGAAAAGGTAGAGGAGATCAACTGAAGTAATAACTGTATAGGAATCGTGACTGCAAGAGGGCAGATGTACAGATGTTTAATTCATCATTCACTAGGTATCTTAATCTTGGGTGTTTAACCCTTTGATAAAAACATTTTACTTTCTAGCAATACAACTGAACAGGGGAAATGGGCTTTGGAAGTCAGACCTATAATTTAGGTGATGCTGTGTGTATATATATGTTGATGACTGAATTCAGACGGAGAAAGATAGGTGTTACTATTGTCTGCAACGTTGGATGTTTTTATAATGCAATCCTGCATTTTGGTATATACACTTTCTGAATGTTAAATCTGTGTAAGTTTAGATGAACTTGTTTCTGGAGTTGCACTTTGAAGCATATAATCTTCTTTAGAAATACTAGCTGTTCATCAATTGCAGTCTCAAATTCAAGCATATGCTAAATATATTGCTAAGCTTGAATGGTAGTCATTTATTTTACCCAAATTTACACATTGGAAAAATTTGTTGGTTTAGGCTCTGCCCTCCCCATATCTTAGCAAATGCAAGGCTAAAAAGTTGCAGAGTTGAGTAAAAATCAAGCTTACAGGGAGAATAATTGAATATTGAGACGGAGTAATGGAGTATTACACATTTACACAGATTATTTGGTGTAGACATGTAGTGTAATTGTGTAAATTCACTTTGTGTGGCTACGGTGGGAGAAAGGGTAAATAATTTTATTATGCGAAGTGTTTTTGGAAAAAAATAAAATAAAATGGTTTTGGGTATAAGAATGGCTCTAATGAGCCGGTATCCTCACTGGTCAACTTGGATCAAGTTCTTGATTTCCTTTCAATTAAGCCAAATTTTAAGTTGGTACAACGTACAAACAATTTATCTTACATTCTTACCCACTTTAAAGGCAAAATATTATCTCATTGATGTAAGATATAGTTTATTATCTTAACATATCTTGTTGAGTCAAGCTAAGTCTTCTAATAAAATTAGGTCTCCTTATAAAATTAAAATACTTCTTCCTATTTTCTACTACGTATCATCAGCTCTTCCTCTTAAATTGATACATTTAAATACTCTATTATATCTTCACAATATCAACATAATATACCTGCCTCTCTTTTTCCATGGATTTACTCTTGAAGAGGCTAACCAAGCAACAATTCAAACGCAAGGCTCAACCCAAGCAAAAGAATCGGTCTCTATTTTTGTTACCTTCTCATATATTAGCTATAATTCTTAGAAATCTTGATTTTGCAACACTTAGTTCTAACCAACATGAATTTGCTGCTGCACTCCCGGAAGTTTCTTCTCTTTCGACATCGTTACCACCCTCACTGTTCCTCCGGGAAAGGAGTAGATTATGGTATGGTAAAATCCTTAATTTTGTACTTAAACATGTAACAATCTTTGTCGATGCCAGAGAGGACTTTCCCTACAGCAGTAAATTGTTTGATTTTGGATATAAATCCCTCCTATGGTTGCATATGCCGCGAATTAATCCATCAGGGCGGTGTCTTTTCCAGAAGCTTACAGGCCTCGAGTCATTGGAGGTCGAACATACAGCAATCTCGGCTAATGATCCCCTCACGCTAATATCTAACCCTGGTACATGGCTCCGTTGGGATGCTAAGTTTGGGACAAGCAAGCCTCATTGTGACTACGTGTTGTACGTTTTAGGTGATGTTGTTAGTCGACAAGGTATCGAGGTGGTTCAGGAGGATGAAAGTCCAGAACTCAAGTCTCTTCGTCGAAGATGGACAATACTATATCATGGAAAGTGTCAACCGTATATATTACACTCACTTATACATGAGGGAGTTAAAGAGGTAGTGATCAAGGACCCTGAGAAGAGGGGAAAGATGATACTTGGTTCCGAGTTTATGGACCGGTACAAGCTCTTACTTACAGGATACCGGATGATAATTTACAGTTTGCCTAGTGTTTTAAATCTTGAAAGCAGTAATTCGTCGGTACAAATTAAAAATACTTGGCTTTGTTTCGCGGTTGATGATTGTAAAGGACTAGAAGAGGATGAAGACGATATTACTAGTATTGATGATTCTATAAGGGCTTGTTTAGGTTATGCTGATGGTGATGGAGTTGGAGGAAAAAAAGATGATGAAAAAAACAAAGAGCTCAGGGAAGTTGTGACAAAAATACTTGCTGATGACAATCGCAAAATTGTGTTTGAGGCTAATACGGCTTAGTAAGGTGGAATGAAAGGGTACGTCGTGGACTCAGGGAGCACGGTTTGTTAGTATTTATTTTAAAAAATATTTTTCATATTTATGTGATTTTTGTTACTTAACATGTGACTCAAATTAAACTTCTTTAACATATGAGTAATAATTTAGAACATTTGTGTGAGTAATATGTTTAGAACATCTGATTTAAGAATTAAAACAAGTGATTAAAAATTTATAAAATTTGCTTTATGAATTTTTAAACATATGAGTAAATTTAGAACATCTGAGTTATGATTATGAACATGCATGTGAATGAAAATTTTAAACAAACTGATATAGAATATAGAAAGTGTGAGTAAAGAATTTAGAACATAGGTGTAAAAAAAATAGAACATACGCTTTAAAATCTAGATCATATAATTAAAAATCTTAGAACACACGTTTTAAAATTTAGAACATATAAATTCAAATTCTGGAACAAGTTATTTATAATTTATGACATCAAACTTAACTAATTTATGGTTTAGAACATGTGAATACTAAAATTAGAACATTTGATTTAATTTAGAACACCTAAGGAAAAGTTTAGAACATCAGATTTAAAATTTAGAACATACGAGTAAAAATTTAGAACATAAAGAGTGTTCTCACATAAGAAAAATTCTCATGAGAGTCTTCCCTTATACTTCCTCTGCTCTTTTTTACTTGACCTGTTTCTTTTATCACGCTTGTCAATGCAAAAATTTAGCGATCAATAACTTTAATTCTTTATAAGTAAAAATTATAAAAGTTGTATATTACGATAGTACTTATTGAGACGAATTAAAAAAGATATCATAGGAATATATTTTTCCTTATATATCATTCACAAAAGACGGTCAAATGAGAAGTGGTGAATAGTGTAAAAGTCAAAGCGGGTCAAGTAAAAAAGAACGGATTATATATATGTATGTATGTGTATATATATATATATATAGGGGGAGAGATGGATCCAGTGAGAATAGGTTCATATGTGAGAATTCATACTTATATGAGAACTGATTTTAAATTTAGAACATCTGAGTAATAATTTAGAACATCTATGTGAGTAATATGTTTAGAACATTTGATTTAAGAATTAGAAAAAGTGATTAAAAATTTATAATATCTGCTTTATGAAATTTTAAACATATGTGTAAAATTTAGAACATCTGATTTAAGATTATGAACAGATTATTAAAAATTTAGAACAAACTGATATAGAATATAGAAAGTGTGAGTAAAAAATTTAAAACATACGAGTAAAAAAATAGAACATACGCTTTAAAATCTGGAACATATAATTAAAAATTTTAGAACGCACAAATTTAGAACATATAAGTTAAAATTTTAAAACAAGTTATTTAAAATTTATAATATCAAACTTAACTAATTTATGGTTTAGAACATGTGAGTACTAAATTAGAACATTTATGTAACACCCCGACCCCAAACAAATTAGGGAGGGGCCTATTGTCACGAAATGCGCATCGAGGGCCAACCAATGTCCCCACAGACCAACACAAGTCCTTCCGGCGCATTTTGTCACAATAGGCCCCTCCCTAATTTGTTTGGGGTCGGGGTGTTACAAATGGTATCAGAGCAACCCTGCGACCGCGTGCTGACCGTGGATAATTAATCCTATGTCAGTCATCTAGCGGGGGAGAATTCTGGGGCTATATGGCCATAGCCAGACTAGATGTAACACTTTGGCTACCCAGTTGCCATTAGGCGTAATACTGGAGTCCCTAGCTTTCCAAGCGCAACGAGGGCGTTGCCGTTCTCAAGTGGGGGTGTATGTAATACCCCTCATGATTGCTTCAAAAGGATTTGATATACTACTCATATCAACAAGGTGCATCTTCCTTTTAGGGAGCTCATTTGTTAAGATACTCCATAGTTAAGCGTGCTTGGTTGGGAGTAGTCTTGGGATGGGTGACCTCCTGGGAAGTTTTCCTAGGGTGCGCATTTCGTGACAATAGGCCCCTCCCTAATTTGTTTGGGGTTGGGGTGTTACAAATTAGGGAGGGGTGTTACAATTTGATTTGATTTAGAACCCCTAAGGAAAAGTTTAGAACATCATATTTAAAATTTAGAACATAAAGAGTGTTCTCACATAAGAAAAATTCTCACGAGAGCCTCATATAAGTATGCTAGTGACGCACGCCCCCCAAATTTTACACAACGACCTCCATAATTGGTTGTACCCGAATTTGAAGGTTGGAATTGCTCAAGAACTGTTTAGATATCAAAGGGGTAGGCTTGTGTTTATGTGTTTAGGGTTTAATAATATTGTGTTATTAATTATTAAAAGAAGTAGACAATACTCGTATTTTATATGTATCCCAAAATAGGAGACAAATAAACAAACCCAACAAATTAGGTGGGCCCAGTCGAACAATGGCCCACCCGGTCGGCCACGAGTATTCCTTGGAACGTTTAATCCCCCACGAGTGCGGATCGTCTAGCCTTGCAATTAACCGATTGCATTACCATTTCCAACAATATATATATTAGATTATTTTGAAAATTATAATCTATCTTTAATTTTTATACATATTTAGAAAACCTATTAAAGATAAAATTCTAAAATATTTTTCTATCTTATATTCGCTTATCTATTTTATACATATGAAAGATAAAAAGCGGGAAAGTGGGGAGGCTATAGCTCCGGTGGGCAGAGGAAGAGGAAAAGGAGAACAGAAGGGAAAGTTGGGAGTTTTTTTTTTTTTTCCTTTAATTATTTTTCAAATAACCCATTAGAAAACGATGACGCGTGTTAAGTTACCTCCTCTAACCGATTGTCAACCCAACAAAACAGGTCATGGCCTGTTAAAAGAAGATTGGTGTAAAAGGTGGAATTATTTCTAGAATAATTGAAAGTGAGATTATTTTTCGAAAGATCGAGCAAAGGTGGAATTATTCTTTTTCATTTTTTCTAATAAAAAATTGTGAAGTCGAGCAAAGGTGGGATTATTCTTTTTCATTTTTCCTAATAAAAAATTGTGAAGTTGAGCAAAAATCAAACTAGTAGAGAAAAAGAGCTTTGATAAAGTAGATTTGGTTATATTGTGAACTGTGAAGTGATCTTTATTACATAAGACAAGGGAGGAGGCTGTGGTGTCCCCTTGAAAATACTTAACACCCTTTCTTATTTTCCTAAATAATTTTAAAAAAACTCAGCAAATGCACT